CTAAACCACTCACGCCCAAAGGGCTGGTGGGATTTCAAAGAGTTCGCCCAGACCCACGCCGACTACGACAGGATGACCAACCGGCGCGAGCCTTGGAAGAGCTAGGCCGACGCGAAGCCCGCCCGAGTCAGAGGCCGACAAGTTGACGCCGAAGGACACCTGAGAGCCTGAGACCCACGTCCTACGATGGGGAGTTCGAGACAATCAACAACTTGATCACGGCCAAGCACGTCGATGATATCAACGTGGCCGGTGCCGAGGTCACCATCGACAGGTGCTTCAAGTGCGTCGGGGATTCTCGTGGAAATGCAACTCGACAAACATGCGCACACAAATTGTGCTGCGAGGTATACAGGGATGGGGGCGGCCACCTCACACTTGATCAAGATGACTACATCAAACAGCTCCGTTCAGTGCAATATCCCGACAGTCAACCTCGGAGGCTCGTTGGCGTGCGTTTCAATCACACAGGAGTTGTCGATGGTATATGATCGTTGTCCTACAGCGCGACCAAGAACCGAGACACATACAAGGTGCGACGACTGAACCGATCCACCAGGGAAAAGAGAAAAATTGCTTAAGAAAAGAATTATAAAGTTCGAATTATAGTTGCAGGCCTGCCCTAAAGAAGATAAGCCAAGATGGCAAGAAGGCCAACGGGTGAGATGTCGAACCCCGCAGGGACTCCGGCTACCGACGTCTGAGCGGAGACTCTGAAATGGTGAGGTCAAGGCAATTGCAATCGCGGGACAAAAACTTGCTACGGCATGGAAGCGCCCTGCTGGTGCGCCTGTCGTCTATTTTATCGATGCGCATTTCAAGTCGCGCCGCTTGCAGGCCCGCTCGAGCTACTCCGCAGAAACACGAGCAGCAGCCCAAAACTCGGAGGACTGCTAACCCGCGATTGCCACGCTGCACGAAATCCACGCTGGGCCGCTGACACCCACTCAGTGGAAGGATATACTGGGGATGGGGAGCCTGAGCATTAAGGTCACTTTGGCCATGGATGCTGAATCTGTCTTGAAGTCCTTGCCATGCAAAGACCTGAAGAACCAACCGGGTGCACTCTTTTTGGACACATCAGTTGTGCACGACAGATGATGGAGCGAGGTATCGCGCATAGTATACACTGTTGTGACACTAGCGACATGACAACGGACGGTCACACCAAAGGGAGCATTGACAGAGATACATCCCCAGGCCGAAAGTTTTTCCTCTTGGATTAGAAAAAATGAGAACACCAATGGGTCCAATGTGATCCCTTTTCGGGTGTGGGGGAGTTTCTTGGATCATATTTCTGTGTTGCGCGGATCCAGTTTCTTGTGTATGAAAAAAACCATGGATCCATTTGTTTCCCGGGAATAACTATATAATAATAATTAACATCCGGGACCCAGGGAAAATGGGTTCCGCGGAGCACCGCAAGTGAAGCAGCATGCTATGCACGGAGTTGTGAATCTGCAGACCCATGCTATGATTCTACGGGGGATGGGGTTCTTCCCAGGATGAAAGGGGAAAGATGAGGGAAGAGGCACGAGGAGGTGGGATGGGAACAGAGGGGCGCAAGGTGGAAGAGAGGAGGAACAATCAGGGAAGAGAGGGGGGGAGGAGGAAGGACGAGGAAAAGGAGGAGGAGGAGGAGGAGGATGAGGAGGAGGAGGAGGAGGAGGAGGAGGGAGGAGGGAGGAGAGAAGAGGGAGGCGGACGGACGAAAGAGGAAGGAGGAGGAGGGAGGAGGTGGGAGGAGGAGGGAGGAGGTGGGAGGAGGAGGGGGTGGCTTCCGACATGTGGGGTTCAAGAGGAAAATCCCGCGGCCTGCGTAAGTATGCTCTCACAGGTCACGAGAGGAACGCAATCCTTCACGCGCGACTTAAAGCGTCATGCTCCATGCCGGGCTGGCCAGACAGCGCCGTTTGAGGCCGCCTGGCGAGTATCCGTTTGCAGAACGATTTGTTCGCAAGGCAAGTTGCGCGCAGGGGTACTTGCGCCCGGGTTCACTTTCAATTTGAGTTTGCCTGTAGCGACTGCCTTTAGTGTTGCCTTTAGCGGGCGGCGGACTGACGCATCGCACCCCCCCCGACTCCAATAAAGGGGGCTGGGGCAAAAACGAGATAGCGAGCGTCTGTCCGTGGCCGGCCGACCGCCAAGATACGACTGCACCTCGTTGGGGGGCGCGCCGCTTGTTATCGAGACCGAAAGCATTTTCGCTGGAGATGGCCCGTCGTTCCCGCGACGATCTTCTACTTCTGGGGCTATCGCTGCTGCGGTACAACAGAGTTGGATCTGGGCTTCGCCTTAGGCGAAGCTGCTGGTTGGGCCTCCCGACCCCTTCCAACTTTCGGCAAACCCATGGAGATCTGCAATTTTGGAGTCCGGGCCCTTCACGAGCCCTCTTGATCGAGGATTGAGGCTCAGGGGATTTGGGACACGCTCGTTCCGTACCCGGCGGCACGGTGAAGGAATAAACTGTGTGTGTTCACGTTTGCGATGGTGTTCCCGCGTGGCGATTTTGGTTGGGTGGTGTGCGTGCCTATCCGCTGATTGGCACGACGGAACCTAAGCGCGCGTGAAGCGCGCGCATGGCTCTAGTTTGTAATGTATACAAACATACATACTGCGCCGATCCGAAGGTTCCCCCAATTTCGCCACCGTGCTCGCCGCGGCCATCTGGGGTGGCGCGCGCAGGATACGACCCGCGGGGCCCGATGGTGGACGGGGGCGATGTCGCGAGGGCATAGTCGGCGCGCCGACGGGCAGCCCAGCGCCCCGTTTGGCCGGAAGGGCCCAGCACAATGCAAGGGCAGAGCCTTGCCCCCGCCCAGGGTCGCGGGATCGGGTTCCCCGTCCCAATTTGAAATGTTTAATCCCATACGGTGCATTGACTCGAAAATGAGCACTCGAAAAAAACTTTCGGGCCCGGTCATGCGACGACCCGAACAGTTTATCGGCCGACCTGAAAGTGGCCAAATCCCATAGGTTTTGCGTCCAACAAAAAATCCGGGCCCTTTTCGAACGACCCGGACGTGTGCAAACCGCTTGGGTCTCTTTGCAAAAACGTATTTCTCGAGTCGAGGTCTTCGGGCCCGCTCCGAAGAAACCGAAAGTGGGCAAATCGCCTGGAACATCCCATGACAAATGGTTTCTTTGTGTTTCCGGGCATCGTCCGAAGGAACCGCCGATGGGCAGACCGCCCAGGACTTCCCGCGCAAGAAACGGCTTCCCAGGGGAACCATTGTCAGCGGGAGTGCGCCCCGCGCGGGATCGGGGTTCGCACGGGGGCGCGGCTGTTCTCGCCTGTCCAGGGGACATGAATTGCCGCGCCCTTCCAGCGCAACGTTTGCGCTGCATTCGCGCGGCGCCGTGCCTCTCAGATCGGAATAAATGTTCGGAGCGTTGGTGCATTTGCGCACAAGCAAGTATACATACATACGCATATACGCATACATACGCATGCACATACATACATTCATGCAGGCATACATACATGAATACATGTATACACATCCATGCATACAGACATATATACACGCATGCCTGCCGGCCTCCTTATTAGGCATACATGCATACATACATACGTTCGTACATGCAAGCGTTCATAGCCATATACGTACACACATACGTACGTATGTACGTACGCGCGACCGTGCGTGCGTATATACGTACACATACACACGCGGCCTTTCACATACGTATAAACCTACGTACGCCCGTACATCCATCCATTCACATATACACAATTTCATACATCCACTTCATACAGTACATACGCTACATGTGTGATTTGCAAACACACGATTACGTGAATATCCCCATAAACACATACATGCACACACACATTAATGCAACCATGTATTCATACATACACATGCAATCATTCAATCATACATGTATGCCACATACATCCGTACATACATACATATCGTATTGCCCATCGACCTATCCACCTACACACATACATGCGTACACATACACACGCAAACATACATGTATGCATACATACATACGAAAATCGCGGTCCGTGGTCGCTTGGACGGGGGGGGGGCACGAGACCCCCCCTACGTTTCCCCTCTCCTTCTCCTCGGCTGGCGGCGGCGGCGGGGGCGACGATGTTTTGTTTTGGGCCGGCGCCGGCGCCTGCGGCGGCGGGCGGGGGCGGCGGGGAGCGTCGACGAGGACGACGGTGGTGGTGGTGGTGATGGGTTGTGGTGTTGGTGGTGGTGGCGGTGGTGGTGGTGGCGATGGTGGTGGTTGTGGTTGTGGTGGTGGTGTGGTGGTTTGTTGTGGTGGTGGTGGTTATGGTGGTGGGTGGTGGTGGTGGTGGTGGTGTGGTGGTTGTTTGGTGGTGGTTTGTGGTGGTGGTGGTGGGTTGTGGTGGTGGTGGTGGTATTGTGGGGATGTTGTGGTGGTTTGTGGTGGTGGTGGTGGTGGGTTGTGGTGGTGGTGGTTTGTGAAGGTGGTGCTGGTGGTGGTTGCGGTGATGGTGGTGGTGGTGTGGTGGTTTGTGGTGCTGGTGGGTCGTGCTGCTGGTAGTGGTGGTGGTTGTGGCGGTGGTGGTGGTGGCGTGGTAGATTGTGGTGGTGGTGGTAGTTGTAGTGTGTTTTTGTGGTGGTGGTTGTGGTGATGGTGCGTTGTGGTGATAGTGCTTGTGGTGGTTGTGTTGGCTGTGGTTGTGGTGGTGGTTGTGTGGTGGGTTGGTGGTGGTGGTGGTAGTGGTGGCGGTGGTGGTGGTAGTGGTGGTTATCGTCGCTGCGCCCCCGCCGGCGCCGGCGCCAGCGCTGGCGCTGCTGGCCGCCGCCGGCGCCAGGGGGGGGGGCTTGAACCCCCCCCTTCTGGGCTGCCTCGGGTCATCGTCGCTGCGTCCCCGCCGTCGGCGTTGCTGGCGGCCGCTGGCGCCGGCCGAATGTTCCCAAGGCAAGCGTCCGTGAAACGCGTTATTTCATACATACACATATTATGTATGTGTATATATATACAGATAAGGTGGACACCCGCATCTTCGACGTCTCCCCCCAACCGTGGACCGTCTTCCGCTTCAGCGGACTTTGTGATGGACCCATATTACGCCCAACAACAGCCCGCCTCGATCCCTTGTCATTTTGGCTCAATGCATCCCGGTTTCGGCAGATTTGGAGCAACCTTCATCTTGTCCGTAATCTAAATACACACACGCGCGAAAACATTTGGCTTGCGGGTCCTTTCATTTCTGTTCCGTGGGATGGCGGTCCAGAAGGCACCTTGGATCGTGTGGTCCGCGGTCGCATTCGTCCTCAGCATTTGCGTACCCACTGCGACCTCGATAGGTGTGAGTTCCAAGTCGAAGTGTGAAGATGACGACGCCCACATCATTGCGCTGGCCAGCGGCATTGGCGTCACGATCAGTGGTTGTGCTGAAGTGCAGCCTTATTGCGGAGATGTGAAGTATGGCAGCACTGTGCAGGCGACCTGCCCTGCAACGTGTAGCCTCTGCAGGGTGGCCAGCCCCAGCAGCTCCCCGGCGGCAAAGGTGCTGATGGACAGGAGCTCCAAGGGCTTCCGGGACGCGGATGATCAGCAGTCGTTGGACAGGTCTCTGGCGGCGAAAGGGCCTGACCCGACACCGAGGCCGACGCCGTGGCCGACGCGGTGGCCGACGCCGAGGCCGACGCCGTGGCCGACGCCGTGGCCGACGCGGTACCCGACGCCGAGGCCGACACCGTACCCGACGCCGAGGCCGACGCCGTACCCGACGCCGAGGCCGACACCGTACCCGACGCCGAGGCCGACGCCGAACCCGACGCCGAACCCGACGCCGTATCCGACGCCGAAGCCGACGCCGAACCCGACGCCGAACCCGACGCCGTACCCGACGCCGAGGCCGACGCCGTATCCGACGCCGAAGCCGACGCCGAATCCGACGCCGAACCCGACGCCGAACCCGACGCCGAACCCGACGCCGAACCCGACGCCGTACCCGACGCCGAGCCCGACGCCGAACCCGACGCCGTACCCGACGCCGTATCCGACGCCGAACCCGACGCCGAACCCGACGCCGTACCCGACGCCGTACCCGACGCCGTACCCGACGGCCTTCCCGACGCCGTACCCGACGGCCTTCCCGACGCCTTACCCGACGGCCTTCCCGACGCCGTACCCGACGCCGTACCCGACGTCCTTCCCGACGCCGTACCCGACGGCCTTCCCGACGCCGTACCCGACGGCCTTCCCGACGCCCTACCCGACGGCTTTCCCGACGTCTTACCCGACCGCTTTCCCGACGCCCTACCCGACGCCTTTCCCGACGCCTAGCCCGACGCCTAGCCCGACGCCCAGCCCGACATATCCTTTGGGTTGGCCGACGCCACAACCAACGTTTCCTCCCGCAGCTCCTATGGCGGGCGGAGTTGCCGGAGGCGTGGCGGCCACTGGCGATCCCCACCTTCAAAATGTTCATGGCGAGCGGTTCGATTTAATGCAGGCGGGCAAACATGTTCTGATAAACATCCCTCGTGGAGTGAGCGCTGAAGACGCATTGCTTCGTGTGCAGGCCGATGCGCGCCGCTTGGGCGGAAGTTGTTCGGATATGTATTTTCAAGAACTGAACATTACAGGCTCGTGGGCAGAGGCTAAGCAAGTTGGAGGGTATCACTACGGCGCACGGCAAAGCGTTACGACGATTCCGCAATGGGTTGCTATTGGTCAGGTAGAGCTGAAGGTCGTCCATGGACGCACAGAGCGTGGCATCCTGTACTTGAATGTGTATGTGAAGCATTTAGGGCGATCAGGTTTTGCCGTCGGAGGTTTGCTGGGGGAAGACGACCACAAGGACGTGACCACCCCCCCGGCGTCTTGTACCAAACACATTTCTTTGGTAGAAGTAGTGACGAGTGGCCAGGCCTCCGAGTCGTCAGTTGCAACGGCAACCTTCGCGTGACCATGCTGGATTATTTGAAACGTCGGTATGACAAGTACGCCCCTTCGGGCGACGCCTGCGGTAGTGCTCTCCTGCTCCATAGAAAAAACATCAGCCCGCCTCGAGGACTAGCAAATTGCAGAACAACTGTTCGTTGTTCCGCGCGGATTCGTTGGATCGGCGCCAGGACCATGCTGGCTGCGCCTCTGGCGCCGTCCCTGGGTGTCCAGCGCCGGTCCAGGAAATGCGCGTGATGTTCCCACATTGCATCGTTGTGCAGTTGATTCCTTCTCCAGGAATGAAGGATGACACCGAGATCAAACAGAAACAGCCTGGTCGAAGTCCAGGGCGTGGAAAGGGAGGTTCTCTCCTCTGCGCCCGTCTCGGTAGCAACTCGGCGATGGTCAGGTCCAGCTTGTCCGCACTGGGGCGCGCTCGCAGGAGAGAGGACGATGGGACCACAGCGCGCAGCCAGTGTCAGAAGCCGGGCGAAGGCTGGCAAAACCCGTGGCTGCTAGAACGCAGCTCCGGGAAATTGTGCTTGTTCGTTCCGGGAAGCCGCCCGTGTACTGTTTGGTGCGCCGAGCTTGATTCCGCGAGTCTGTTTTTCTCTCTTCGGGGAAGACCATTGTAGCAGCCATGGGTTCGCCGGCCCTCGCCCAGCTTCCACGGAGGACGACGGGACCACAGCGCGCGGCCAGGGAGGCAACGGGCGCAGAGCGGTCGAGGCGGCGGCGGACCTCGGGTTTTTTTCGTTCTCGCTCGGGCCTCCCGGAGGCCTCCCGTCGCCGCGGCCCAGGCGTCAGGAGGGGAGTACAAAAGAAGCACACAGACACAACATCGGCGATCCCCAGGAAAGTGTGGGAAGGTATGGGGAGTGGGGGGGAGAGGACGAGAGCCCAGAACCTCTGGGAAACCATGGGGGGTCCTGGGGTTTTGGCGTGCACGTCTTGGCGTGTCCCTGGGCCCCTTGCAAGGAGGGATCCCGAGGGAGGTCCTGGGGACCGACTCCCACTCGGGGCGGCCTTGGGGCCAGGCGGGAGAGCCGCCGCTTTCCCCATGGCCCCCCCCCCTCCGATGTGTAGTTGGAGCCTCTCCAGCTCAGTACGCAGCGGGGGAGCCACTGTCTCGTGAGCCGGGCGTGTCCCTCTAGAGGAGGCAAGTTCGAAGACAACAAGTGATACATAATAGTCAGGGGACGGTTCTTTTTGTTTCTGGGTCTGTTCAGCATGTGTCTTGTATCTGTGGGGGCGTGTCTTATCTTTCGCCCAAGCTCTGCCTGTGTGTGGGGGACGTGCCCGGCCTGACAGCTGTCATACCATAACATTTTGTACCGTCGGGGGCGCCTGCCCCCTGGCGGCTTGAAGGTTGGCACCCCTGCGGTGACGCGTGGGGGCACAGATTTCCCAGGCGCCATGCGGCAGTCGCCCCCCGGCGGCGGAGCAATGTGATGTACACCGTGCACGTGTGTGCCAGCCGAAGGCTTCTCCAGGGCCACCTCCCGATCGGCAGCCACTCCTATACCACGCTAGGCCTCTGTCAACCGAAGGCGTCCTTCAAACGCCACTTCCAGGCGCCTGTAAAAACCAGTTCTGGCAGGCGTCTTTAAAGCCGCTGCCCGCAGCCGCGCCCCCCATTTGTGTTCCATCTTTTCCGTGGGATGCCATTCCCCTCCGATTTTCGAGGGTCAGCTGTCGAGTGTTTCTTCTGTCCAGCGCCGCCTTCTCGGCATAAGAGTTACCCAGGATCATCGCTGGCAGCGAGTTGTCCTCGACCGCGCGTGGAGGGCGCCGGACGGGGCCATACCACAACCCATCTCTGTCTGGAATCATTCGGCTGCCCCCAACCCAGACTTCCGACGGGTTTATTCTATTGCACAGGGTGTCTAGAGCTCCGACCACTTAATTTCGGCACGGCACCCCTTCCATCGCCCACGCATTCCACCGGCCAGCGCGCCCCTCCGCCCCGACCCCTTTATTTCGGCACGGCGCGCCCCTCCGCCCCAACCCCTTAATTTCGGCACGGCGCACCCCCTCCACGCCCCCTCCGCGCCCCCCCACCCGCCAGCCAGCGCGCCCCTCCGCCCCGACCCCTTTTATTTCGGCACGGCACACCCCTCCGCCCCGACCCATGTATTCCGGCACGGGACACCCCCTCCACATCCCCCCCGCCCACCATCCAGCGCGCCCCTCCGCCAAGACCCTTTTTTCCCAACCATCCTGTGGTGTTGGGTCCTCGTTTTGAAGAGACGGTGCCCCGCGTTCCTCTCCTGTCCTCTCCTCTCCTCTCCTCTCCTCTCCTCCTCTCCTCCCCTCCTCTCCTCCTCTCGCTATTGCACGCTTTCACCCACCTAGTAAACCGTTTCGTGGCCCCATAGGGAGCTCCACCGAAGTCCCCAGTGACCGCGCCCAGTATGCGTCAAGCCACACCCATTTCGGCACACTCAAAACACCCCTCACACGTTTCGTGCTCCATAGGGAGCTCCACCGAAGGCCCCAGTGCCCGCGCCCGATGCGTCACCCACACCCAATTCGGCATACACAGACTTAAGAAGAGAGTTGAATTATTCCCCTCACACGTTTCGTGTGCTCCATAGGGAGCTCCACGAAGGCCCCATGCCCGCGCCGCATGCGTCACCCACACCCAATTCGGCACACACCTCACACGTTTCGTGGCTCCAAGGGAGCTCCACCGAAGGTCCCAGTGCCCGCGCCCGCATGCGTCAGCCACACCCATTTCGGCACACCCCTCACACGTTTCGTGGCTCCAAGGGAGCTCCACCGAAGGCCCCAATGCCCGCGCCCGCATGCGTCACCCACACCCATTTCGGCACACCCCTCACACGTTTCGTGGCTCCATAGGGAGCTCCACCGAAGGCCCCAGTGCCCGCGGCCGCATGCGTCCCCCACACCCATTTCGGCACACCCCTCACACGTATCGTGGCTCCATAGGGAGCTCCACCGAAGGCCCCAGTGCCCGCGGCCGCATGCGTCACCCCACACGCCAATTTCGCACACCCCTCACTACGTTTCGTGCACCATAGGGAGCTCCACCGAAGGCACCCAGTGCCCGCGCCCGCATGCGTCACCCACACCCAATTTCGGCACACTCCTCACAAAACACGTTTCGTGCTCCATAGGGAGCTCCACCGAAGGCCCCATTGCCCGCGCCCCCTGCGTCAGCCACACCCATATCGGCACACCCCCACAAATTAAACGTTTCGTGGCCCCATAGGGGCTCCACCGAACGCTCCAGTGCCGCGCCCGCATGCGTCACCCACACCCATTTCGGCACACCCCTCACACGTTTCGTGGCTCCATAGGGAGCTCCACCGAAGGCCCCATTGCCCGCGCCAGCATGCGTCACCCACACCCATTTCGGCACACCCCTCACACGTTTCGTGGCTCCATAGGGAGCTCCACCGAAGGCCCCAGTGCCCGCGCCCGCATGCGTCACCCACTCCCAATTCGGCACACCCCTCACACGTTTCGTGGCTCCATAGGGAGCTCCACCGAAGGCCCAGTGCCCGCGCCCGCATGCGTCACCCACCCCCATTTCGGCACACCCCTCACACGCTTCGTGGACCCATAGGGAGCTCCATCGAAGGCCCCAGTGCCCGCGCCCGCATGCGTCAGCCACACCCATTTCGGCACACCCCTCACACGCTTCGTAGCCCCATAGGGAGCTCCACCGAAGGCCCCAGCGCCCGCGCCCGCATGCGTCAGCCACACCCATTTCGGCACCACCCCTTCACGCGTTCCGTGGCCCCATAGGGAGCTCCGCCGAAGGTCCCAGTGGGTGTGCCCGCATGCGCCCCGCA